TTCTTGTTCAGTTGATTTTCTACAAGCTTTTTCCACTCACAGAACTTCGAGAATGCTTCACTTTTAACACTGAGAAAGAAAACCCACACCTTTCTGGTGTAATCATCAATTATGGAAAGGAAATACTGTTTTCCAGACAAGCTTGGGGTGACTGATGGAGAGCCCCAAAGATCCGAATGTACATATCTCAAAGCTTCCCCTGAATCGTGCTTGCCTATATGAAAGCTTAGCTTCTTGTGCTTGCCCATAACACAACTCTCGCAGAAACTGAGATTCCCAATCTTCCTTTTGTCAATGATTCCTTATCTGACTAATATCTGCATGTTCTTCATGCTCATGTGTGCAAGATGTCTATGCCAAAGAACCGTCTCATCATTTCTTTTCTGTTGCGACACATTGCTATTTGCTTGACCTGAAATTGTTTTACCATCCACAAATACAATGTTCCAACTAGACTACCTTGCAACACTAGCTTTCCATTCTTATAGAATCTAGTTTTTCCATGACCACCAGAATGTTCGAATCCTAGTCTATCTAGTGTTCCAGTAGATATAAGATTCCGTCTCAGTTTTGGGATATACCTGACATTTGTAAGCTGCTTGACTGACCCTCCAAAGGCTTTGATGTTTATGGATCCAATCCCTTCAACAGCTACAGCATTGTCATCTCCAAGCAAAACTTGTCCAGAAGAGAGCTCCTCAAAAGTATCAAACCAATCCCTCCTGGATGTCATATGATATGAACATCCTGAGTCAATAACCCACTTCTCTTCGTGCCATTTTTCAGATACTGTGAGAGCTCCACCTTCTTGAGTCACATCTATGACTACGGCTGCCTCAGCTCCTTCTTCGCTCTCCATTTTTCGTTTTCTTGCAAAACAGTCCTTTTTCAGATGTCCATCTTTCTTGCAGTACCAGCAAGTTACCCTGGAACCTGATATAGATCGTGATCTACTATTCCCGCTGTCTTTTCCAGTATCCCTTCTTTCAGACCTTCCTCGAACTGCATATGCTTCACCAGTCTTTTGATTTCCTGAGGCTTTAACCTCTCGCAGCTCCATTTCTTTTGACTTTGCAGCACTAATCACTGTTTCCATTGACAGAGTTTCTCTACCATATTTCAGTGTTTCTTTTAGACTATTATAGGCTTGAGGTAGAGAACTCAAGAGCAGGATAGCTTGAACTTCCTCAGAAACTGAAACCTTTACACTTCCTAGATCCGAGACTAGTTTCAGGAATTCAGCAACGTTCTGATCTATAGTCTTAGTTTATATCATTCAGAATGTATAAAACTTGTGTTGAAGATGGATGCGATTTGGAAGAGACTTGGTATTGTATAACCTTTCAAGAGTAGACCAGATCTCAGCTGCAGATTTGCATTCATCGAGCTTCCGAAGAACCTGATCCCCAAGATTTAAGATCAGAATATTCATAGCCTTTTCTTCTTTCTCAATCCAATCTGCTTCTTCTTTCGCTTTTCTTTCTTCAAAGGCAGATTCTTCTTCTCCTTTCTTTTCTTTGACTTTGCAGAATGCACTATCCGATAAGAAAGATTTCAATCCAAGAATCGATAGATGAGCGAACATCCTTTTCTTCCACATCGAGAAATCACCTTGACCGCCAAAGATCGCGATGCTTGTTTTTATATCCGCCATTGTTTTCACATCCGCCATTGATTCGAATTTACCCAAACCTTGGCTCTGAAACCACTTGTTGAGGAATCCAGCTCAACAACACGGAATAAGAGCGCAATATCGATTCAATCTGATCTAATCGCTCAACGATTACTCACTTGATCTCTCACTTTGAACTTGATTTGTTTGTTTACCGATTAGCAAGAAAATAAGAACACAAGAGAATTTTACGAGTTCGGGACCTCGATTTGAGTAATATCCCTACGTCTCGGCCTGGCAAATCTCCAGCAATTCACTATCGTCTTCTCCGATACAGAATCACAACTTTCTCTCTCTTATCTTTTTACAACGGTAAACCTCTAGATTAGAGAGAGGATTTATACACACGCTTTACTTATATAGTAAAGTTAATCACAAAAGTCAAACCGGTTTAAATCTATCTAACCGTGAACCATAGAAAAAATCCTTAACCAATCCTTCTAATTGACAAACCAGTCCGGTTCAAGTCCAATTCAGGTGATTCTCATCACCAAGTCTCAACACAAGCGTTCGACAAAGTTTCAGTGGAATCAAAACTATATAAAAATCTCTAATTTTACCTGCAGACTTAATAACTTCTAATATATATGTTAGATATGATTATAGATAAACGTAATTTTAACAATGACAAAAATGTATAAATCTCTAATTTTACCTTTTATATAAGTACATATATATATATCGTTATATATAACATGATTATTGGCATACCTCTCATTACATTTTTTTTTAAATAGAGAAAATTATACGTACGGTTAAAATTTAATGGTTATTATATTTTTATAACAAACACATATATTCCTTTGCATTTATTTATTTTTTAAAGATGAATGTGCTTTGATTACAAGAGAGCCAAATTAGCTTAAAAGTGCCCTCCAAAAATAATAATTTTTATGTTTTAAATTTGGACTGATCTTAGTTAGTCTATATGAAGCCACCGTTAGGTTGGGTTGATGTATTTCATCTGCGATAGTTTCGTGAGCAGAGTATCGCAGCATTTTCTTTGATATCCATCTTTTTCCCCATGTGTCTTAATCCCTGGTGCACTTATTTTACTACCATCCATAGTCATAGACTCATAGTTTATGCACACATGTATATTCACCTTACGTTACGCCGACTTGCTTTCAAGTTAAGATTTCTAGGCTTTGATATTTACTATTATTCTTGTCTTGGCAAAACATCATCTACTTTTGAAGAGGAACGAACTAAGTATATAACCCAAATATGGAAAAAATAAAAAGGAAAAAAGAAAAGGAAGTAGCAATTGAGTGTTTGGTGTATCCAGTTTGAGTTTATATTCCTTCTGTACTTTTACTGATTTTTACTTTAAATTTTTTTTGGGTTGGAGTTTGCTTCTTTGACTGATCAATTGAATCTCTCGCTCCCCAAGCGAAAGAAAGAACACAATATGTTGCTTTTGATCATTGCCAAGAATCTCACTTCGGAATTCCCTTTACCTTTACCCTTTTTTTTTTTTCATTCCTAGCTTAAACAATACTATTTCTCCTTAATTCTAACATTTTTATACTTAATATACATATCTCCTTTATATCAAAAAATGTTCAATATTGGGTCTTAATCTTTAGTTCCAAGAGTAATAAACGACAAACAAGTATCGATTTTGCTCATTTGCTGTCCTTTAGGATGTACACACTAGAGCATTTGAACATGGTTACTTTTTCAAATAACTTTAATTTGTTTATATATTTAGAAAACAAATTAAATTACATCAAATACATATAATAAGTAATTCTAAAAGTCCTTTAAATAATATGAGTTTGTCCTGATTTCTATAGATTTGATAAGTGATAATATAAGTATACATAGTAGTTCCACAAAAGAATATAGTATATATATATATATATATATATATATTTTGAATGAATGTAAAATTTATTCAATCAAAGCAATGTTACATCAAGTGCATCAGTGTTTGAAGTTTTGAGAATGAAAATATGGAAACTTTACAAAGAGCTTAATCTCGAGTATCAAACCAAAAGAGGAGACCATCTTCATAGTCCTTGTCTTGAAGTCTGATGGAGCTTAAGCGATTCCTCACCCCTTTGTCAATTATCTTTATCAGTTTCAGCGGTGGAGAAGGATCTTCCCCATGCTCACGCCAGAGTCCATACATAGTTGCTTGAAAAGTATATCGCAGCAAAAACCGAGATACAGTCGTAAGAGAAGAGTCATTTGTGAAGTGTATCAAATCCTCCCAATCTGTGGTGAATCTCTCTTTTAAGGATGCTTTTGGCCAGAGCTGTCCATATCTATGCTGAATAATTGGAATAGTATGATTTTTCTCTAAGTGGATCGCATATGATTTTTTTTTTTAAAATGTATCGTATAAAACTATTAATTTTGTATAAGTAATAATTAGCTATATATATTCCATTAATTTAGATATCCGGTTGGTTGTTTTTTGCTTAAAAAAATAAAAATAAAAATAAAAATATTCCGGGAAAACTCGGGCTGAATCAGAGGATTTAAAAGAGCAACGAGTGAAAGGGGCTTCGTAATCGGAGAGAGACCAAATCCTTAGAAGACCGTGACATTGTCATTCACGTGGGCCTCTTTTGACCAACCCCTTCCGACACTAAAACTGCAGATACACTTATTTATTGCCATTAAATATTAGTTTTTGAAGTCTTTAGCCCTTTCAAAACATATATAAATGCATAATCTACTGTATTTTGCTTAAGAATGTTGCAATATCTTTTACAGTTTGCTTTGTTCACTTTTATTTGAAACAGACATGAAAAAGAAACTATTCATTCCCTATTATATATTTAGAAAATGTGTTCCTAAATTATCCAATAAAAATGAAACCACACTCCAAAACATTTGAATTACTTTGATATTGATTCAAGTATGCAATATAAACAATTATAACACGATGATTATGTGTTTTTTACCACAGAAATTAGAATGTTAACAAAATATATCATGCATCTAAACTCTGAATTTAAGATCTGAAAAAAATAGTGGTGCTCTGCTTCTTAAAAACATCTAATAATATAGTGTCTAGAATAGTTTATTTTTCAAATGTTTTTAGTACTGTAACAAGAAAAATCAGCGTGGAAAATAGAGTTCAGAATAGTTTGTTTTTCCGTACCCAAAAACACGATTAAGAAAAAAAAATGAAAAATATTGAGTTGTTTAAAGCCCTTGAGAGAATATTCATTGTAGAATTGTTGCTTTCTTTAAATAAAGTAGCAAATAATGTAATCGTCACTACAATCGATTCGATCATATACCAATTCCTTTTGTCGTTAAGTTTCCCTATATATATATATATGTAGCCATGTCTTAATCTGTACGTTATAACACTTACTCACAAGAAACCAAACAACACACACACGTCTCTAATCTCTCTCATTCTCTCTGTCGAGACCTCAAATTCATGATGGGATACCAAACTAATCCTAACTTCTCCATGTTTTTTTCTTCGGAAAATGACGACCAAAACCATCAAAATTATGATCCTTATAATAACCTCTCTTCTTCAACATCTGTTGATTGCACTCTCTCTCTTGGAACACCCTCCACGCGGCTTGATGACCACCGTAGATTTTCTTCTGCTAGTTCTAACATCTCCGGAGACTTCTTCTTTCACGGAGGAAATGCTAAAACGACGTCGTATAAGAAGAGCAATGGTGATCACAACCTACCTCGCCGTTGTGCTAGCTGCGACACCACTTCTACTCCTCTTTGGAGAAACGGACCTAAAGGACCTAAGGTAATTTAATATCATCAATAAATTGTCCGAGATAACCAAATATTTTGTTCAAAAAGTAACTAGATTGTAATAAAAGCAAAAAGTGTCATTTTGGCTATTCAAAACTTCATAACTATTATATGCTGCAAAAACTCTCTTATATATTCTAGACCAAAACAAGTAGAAGAATTTTCTAATCAAAATTTGTCACATCATATTTCATTTTTGGTTGTTTTATAATTCTTTTTATTTTTTTGGTAAAAAAAATCTTTTTTTTTATATCAGTCTTTTACTTTAACTTCATTTAAAAAAATATATATGTAGTTTGTGTTCAGTATATAGCTAAAATAGTTTCCTTCTCATATTTATTATTTAAACTCGATATATATATGGTATGGTTGTATAATTAAAATCAACAATTATACAAGTCATTAAACTTTGGATGTGACAATGATTTTAATTTGGTGCAGTCGTTATGTAATGCGTGTGGAATCCGATTCAAGAAAGAAGAGAGGCGTGCATCCGCCAGAAACTCAATAATCTCCGGTGGTGGTTCATCGGCGGCAGAAATTCCGGCAGAGAATCTGTACCGTGGAGGTGGAAACTATTACAGTCATCATCATCACTACGCTTCTTCGTCACCGTCGTGGGCTCATCAGAATACACAGAGAGTTCCTTATTTCTCGCCGGCGCCGGAGATGGAATATGACGTCACGGCTGCATCGTATCTGTCTTGGAACTGACGTCACGTAGCGAGACACCGACTTCGATCGCCTTCTCCACCATTTTGACGAGATGAAGAAGAAACGTTAATCATGGATGATGATTAAACGGTCTTATCATAGATTCTCACCAAAGTAAATCAGTCTTGGTCAAATTCATTATAGTTTCTTTTTATTTATTTCTTCTTATACCTCGACTCTATCTACTTGTGTTTTCTTTTCATGACTTTTTGAAAGTTATATAATATATACGTACTGTTTTATAAAACTTTTCATGATGTTTCCCACTTGCTTAATGATACATATTTGAGATATATATCTCAACTTTATTTGACATCGTCTTTTATCCTTTAACATTTTTCGATGCAACCTGAGCGATAGTTTGCTTGTCTCCTAACAAATATTATTTTTATCTTTTACGGGTGGAAAAGAATATTTATAATCCGCTTTTTTTTAGAAAAAAATGGTTAAACGTAAATTGACGGAAATAAATAAATAAATACCGAAGCCGATTTTTTTTCGCTTAAGGAGGAGATCGTTGTGGTTGTGTGACCTGAGAATTGTTGTTCTGAAGTAGCTTGATTCGTAGCTTTATCAAGTTTGCTATGACAAAAAAGGGGATAAAATAAATGACATGCATGGTAATAGTTATTTTTGTAAGAGTTGGGTAAAATTTGACGAGGGAAGTGTACTACAGCCAAAATGTTATTGATTCGGTAAAGAAACCTGTTAAATATATACAATTTATGGTATCACTTCAGCTTTTTAGCTTTGGAAAATAGAATGTTGGTGCTTGAGAATTAAAACCTCGGGAAATCAGTATTTTACGTACATGTTTGAGAAATGATTTGTATGATAAGTTGAGGTTGTGTACAACATCGGATAGACTTCATGATTAAGGATCATAGACGTTACGATTAGTGATTATCAGTACTAGTCCCACAACTCACAGATGATTAATGAAATTAGTCTCTAAGTGGAAGATAGTTGAGTTATGAAGTCTAACATTTCGGATTTGTTGTGTAACCCGACAAGCGGCTATCAACGAACTTGCAGAGGGCAGATCCTTAGTAGATCTTATTTATAAGTAAGAATGTATATTAAAAGTATGTAATTCAGGTGTTTTCAAACATATTCTCGTATTTAGGGTTTGTTTTTTGGAGTTTTTGCTAAAAATAACCCAAAATTTGATTTTGAATACAAAAGTAGACCCCTGAAAAAACATTTAGCAGAAATAACCTAAAGGGGTAGTGAAAAGATCATTTAAACATGTATGACTAAAAAAAAAACGGATGTCCTAATTACCGTTTATACCCTGACGAAGTCTACTAAAGTGAAAAAGAAGTCTAATAGTAGACTTCATTTTATCAAAGCGAAGTGTACTAAATAATTAAATCTGTAAATTTAATTTTAAATTTTTTTAAAAATTATTTTGGTATCAAATTTATATTCATAAATTCCGTAATCGTAACCCAAATGTACAAAAATTGTTTTTTCATATTGGTAAATGGAAATGTATGTTTTTAAATTAAGTAGAAGTAAATTTATTATTTAGGTTTTAAAAGTTGTAGACTTCTATATTGAAGTCTATTTAACCGAATAAATTAACCTAACCAAAATTTAAACCAAAATTAAACCGAGAATAACTTCCCTTAACCAAGAGAAACTAAACAAAACCGAATAAATATTTATCTTAACCAAAAAAAATCAAAAATAATTATTTAACCAATACATAAACCAAAATTGAACCAACAATTCTGAACCAAAAATTATTCATTTAACCAAAATTTGTACCTCCCTATATAAAGGAAGCCCACGTTTGTAACCCTAATTTTGTAAAAATGAAAACTCAAACCTCTCTCTCTAAAACGGCGTTTTCCCTCTGTTTCAGATTCAACGAGAACATCGATTTTTTTAGATCTGCTTGCGAACGAGCTGTACACGAGGTCTTTTTCTATGCTGTTTCAGGTTAGAAATCTCTCTTTAGATTATACTCTGCTTTTTGTTTTTAGGAAAACGTTTGTTTGATCTTCACTCTAGGTGACCTCAACATAGTGAGCAACAAAAGAGGTCCACCGTCGACTTCCTCACTGCCGTGCAGCTTTGTCTGGGTATGGCTTTGATGTCTGGTTCAAATTGTTAGCTTTTTCAAGTTTCTTCTTTTTACTTATTAGCTGATGTTTTGTCCAGAAATTTTGGTTTTATTTAATTGGAATCCACTTTGAATTTTTTTTTTATTCATAATGTACTAAGATCTGAGTGTCAGAACTAATTTGATTTAGTTTAGTAATCAGATCTGTGATTATGTGTTTCTCGGAAACCTCCTCTTCCTCTTCTTTATTAGATTTGTTACTTGGGTTGATGTTTAATTTTTACTCCTTTCATTTGCAGTATCACACAAATCTCAACAATTCATCACTGTCATCTCCGAAAGCAGACTTCTTGAGTAGATTTCGAAAGCAGACTTCTTAAGTTGACTTCTTTCATTTGCAGTATCTCAGAAATCTCAAAAATTCGTCACCTTCATCTCCATTTTCTCCACCATCGACATCAGAGACGGGTAGGAAGTTTTGTCCTAACAGGCCCAAGTGCCCAACACAACAATTAAGCTCATTTACAAAACAGAACCCAATAAGTAAATAATTGATCTTCTGTTTGCTCATGATCTCTTTTTGTGTAATGATTATCAATTTTGTCTGTAATGGTCATTAATTGTAATAATCATCAACTGTAGTAGTCTTTTAATTGTCATCAACCGTTATTTTTATGTATCTTTATCAAATATGTAACATAATTAAATTATTCTATATGGACAAAATATAATGGTTCAGAGTATGGTGCAAAGAAAAGTTCCATAAACTAATTCTAAATAAAATTTTTAAGTGACTGATTTTGCACCAGTTTTAAAACCACAGAATAGAAGAAGAATGGATTGCTGTTACATGTTTATTCAATGTCACAAATTTTTTGAAGTAACTGAATGTTGCATCAGTTTTCAAATCACAAAGTATGTCAAATCCAAAAAAAAAGAAAAAAAAAACAGAAGAATGGGGTTAGTGTTATTAACAAGAGAACTTAAAAATGACTCTACAATCTTTTAGAATTTTTGAAGATTTATTTTTATGGAGTTGATCATTTTCTGTAATAAAACACAAAAAACCATATTAGCAAACGAAATTACAAACTACGTTATTGCAAAAATGTAAGTAACAAATTTTCTATATAGGAGACTTCGTCTGCAGACTTCATCTGTAGACTGGAGATGAAGTCTATTCTTCCAAGCTAACTAGCTATTAAATCAACAAATTCGATTCTACAATAAATATCGACTTAAAACAAATGAAACTCATTGAGTAATTAGACCAGTTGGTAACACACATTCCAAAACCTAAAAATACAAAAAATAATTTATATATATTCTATAATTTTGTTTTTAAAATAATGATACCGAGCAGACTTCGTGTGCAGACTTCATCCGTAGACTGCTGGAGAAGTCTACTTTAATAAGCTAACTAGCTTAAAAATCAAAACTTCTGATTCAACAATAAATATCGAATGAAATGAAATGAAATTCACTGGGTAGTTCAATCACTTCATAAAAAGCATTTCTAATCCAAAAAATAAAAAAAATACTTTATAAATTTGCCTAAAATGCGTTTAAAAAAAAACTACAATAAGTAGACTTCTAAAGCAGACTTCAAACGTAGATTGGCGAAGAAGTCTACTTTTTCATAGTGAAGTCTACTAAAGAAGTCTACTAAAAAACAAGTTATTTTTACAATTGACCAATTCGTTGACTTTTCCTTCAGTAGACTTCAGAAGTAGACTTCCGGCCAAAAAGGTTACTTTAGCATTTGACCAAGCCATTGACTAATAAAGTAGACTTCTATTGTAGACTTCATGTAAGAGTAGACTTCTCTGACAGTCTACTTTTGAAGTCTACTTTTTCAATAGAAGTCTACGGAAAAAATAGGTTATTTTTGCAATTGACTATCTTTAGTAGACTTCACTGTGAAGTCTACTCAAAAAAAAATTCCTTCTAAGTTTGACCGGAAAATATAAGTAGACTTCCCAAAGAAGTCTACAGTTTTTAGACTTCTTTCTGAAGTCTACTACAGTTTCCGGAGTTTTCTAAATCTTTTATTTTTTAAAAAACTTTAGTCAAACACTAAAATGATCTATACGTTTTTGGTCAAACTACAAAAGTAACTTAAAAGTAGACTTCTTGTGCAGACGTACACAGTAGACTTTAGAAAGAAGTCTACATTAAAAAGTCAAAATACGGTCAACTAAAAAAATTACCTTTTTTCTTTCGTAGACTTCTTAAGCCTTCAAATGAAGTCTACTATGTTTTTTTTTGTTTTCAAAGGATATCGAGTAGACTTCTCGTGAGGTTTAATGAAGTCTATTTTTTAAAAGTCAATTGCAAAAATAACCTTATGTTGACTAGTAGACTTCAGTATACTTCACGAGAAGTCTACTTTCGCGATATGAAAACTGAAATATGGAGAAATTGAAGTGCGACGATTACCTTTAACAAAATTGAGCTCGGCTACAGTTCTTTTAAGCACCCAGAATTCAGGATTTCACCAAAAATAAGCTACTCAGATGTCAAGTAACCAGAAATCACCGAAAATGCATGACTTTTGGCATTGTAACTTAGCCCAGATGTTTTGGAGAAGAAATTATGAAAGAATGAGGAAGGTTATGAGTGAATGAGCTCAAATATATACTTATTACAGCTTTAAAATTGGTTGAGAAGCATTTATTCCATTTTCATGGTTGTTTATGGTGGTTGGAGAAATTGAAGAAGATGGCATTCTCGTAATTAAAAGATCTTTAGAAGGTCCAAGGAGACTTTAGCCAAATTAAAGAAAAATCGAAATAATAGATGTATAATGGCATTTTCGTTAATAGTTTAAGTGAGAAGGATAAAATTGTGAGAAAATGGCAAAAGTTGGAGAGAGAAAAAAAAGAGGTTAGTTGGGTGCTTGACTTTGAAATATGGGTTAAATCTGAAACTTTCCCTTATTTTTCTGATATTATGTTTGGCGTATTCCCAATATTAATATAGAACGAGAGAGAAAAAATAGAGAAAACTTGTAAGACTATCAATTCGATTATAATGAAATCACTAATAACAATAAATATACATAACTTTCACACGGAAGGTGAACTACGATGAATCGTCTATGTATTGAGAATCGTTTGAGATCTAAATCCTAACATATGAGGTATTAAGGTGTATTAGATCTCATATACACCTACATGGCGAGATTCATCTTTCAATAATGACATTTCATTAATTTGCTTTGCGATTCAATAATATATAGTACACATGGAGCATTGATAAAATTGATATACTATACACCCCCAAGAAAAGCTAGAATTTTCATGACTCATCAGTTCACAACAATATCCAAATCACCAGCGTAACAAATTTGAGAGAGATTACTTATACACGAAAATGCATACATTACGAAATAAACTGAACCTTACAATGAGTAGGCCTAGAGTACTGTGACATAAACACTCGCATAATAAATACTTTATTGATGTAAATTGCATACTTTAGAAGGATAGACGGACCACTGGTCGATGTTGAGAATATCTCAACCAACCCTGCAAATAAACAATTCCAATAAAAATCGTCAATTTATGTTTTATTTCATCTTTTAAGATTTCGAGCTTAACCTAAACAGTTATTCACTATGTGACCTAAACAGGTATTCACTATGTGATTCACATAAATACAAGAAATTTTCATCTTTTCCTATTGAAGTTTAGTTATAAAATTAAGGGAAATTCCAACAACAAAAAAAATCAAGAGAAACTAACATGGAAAAGAAATTAAAGTATAAGAATTGGGAACTCCCCATAACAATAAATAATTTTTGTGGAATCTGATGATTTTTTATGAGAATGATTACCTTAATTTCTTTTCTTTTTTTAAAAAATAGTATCTTTCAATTTAAAGAATGGACGTTCTAAATAAAGTTTTAACAAAACACAATAGATATTTAAAAAAAAAAAAAAAAAGAAATCAGTCAAGCACATATCAAACATACGTAGTGCAGTCGACCGTAGAAGATTTATCAACGGGCAAGCTGGCGCCACAATTGCTAGCGAGGGCTTGAGCCAATTCAGGCTTTACGGTGACACTATTAGCCACTGATTTTATGCATTGACAAGCCGCCTTTTTATCGGCTGATGTGGTGGTCGCCGCCGCTAAACTCTTAACTCCGTCGCAACAAGTCGCCGGAGGTTGTCCACTTCCGCTAGTCAAGTAGCTTACACATGGCTGCAAATCTTGTATAACAACACTACATGATATCGCGGATTCAGAATAACGAGGTATAAATAATATTCCGAGAACGGAGATGATCACTAGACTTTTCAGTAAGCCCATTGCAGATGATTGTGAAAGAAATAAATATTAGGATTTTATTTTTCTATCTTTTCCTTGTTTTTGCTATATATGTAAAGGGAAGACGAAGCGTTTATATATATAATGTAAATTGGAAAAATATGTTATTTAAAATTAGAGAAATATTAGATGTTGGTGTAGATTGTTATGGAGTGAAAGTAACTACTAATGTAAATGTAAAATTCAACATTTTGGTATGACCTTCTTTAATATAGGATTATTTTGGTCTAGGTAGTTAGGATATGTAATTATCTTGTCATTTTGGGTTTGTACATATTAAATTTATAATCGTTCGGTACAAATTGTGATTACAACACTCGAAGATGACGTGTTTATTGTATACTAGATGATCCATTTTACTTCCGACAGAATTAGGACGTTGCAGATCTCCAACTTTGACTAATTTCAGAGATTTCCTGCAACTTGCAAGGCAAGTAAGAACCCCATTGTTGAAGAAAAACATTACTACATCTTCTCTAAATTATGAGGCATACATTAAGATATGAGGGGTCGTTAAGAGAGCAAAATGGCAAGTATTATAGTAATCAAGAAAAAAACTTTAACCAAACAGAATTTATTTCACTAAAATTGCATAATTACTAAATCTGCAAACTTATTATGCTTTTTGCAAGTTCTCAATCAAAACTAGTCTGACAAGATATATCGAAAATGTAAGACAAGAAATAAAGAATGGATGAATATAAATAAGAACCCAGCACCAAATACATTATAATTAATCCCAATTCAAAAGATTATTAATCATCACCTTTCCATTTTCTATTTATTCAAACATATCTTACCTCCAATTTTATCAAAAGAAAAACCCCCTAAAAAAAGGAAAGTAAATTACACAATGGTGAACTTGGTGGAATCACAAAAACCATTGTTCTACGGTCTCATGAAACTGGCCGGCGTCGTTCCATACACAGTAGAGATCGAACCAGGGACGAGGATGAACTTTTGGATCCCCAAAGAAACCCTACAAAAACCGAAAAAATCTGACAAAAACTCAGCCGTGCAACCCAAGAAACCTACCAAACCAGCCATCTTATTCATCCACGGCTTTGGGACCGAGGGAATCATGACGTGGCAGTTCCAAGTTCGATCATTAGCCAAGAAGTATTCTGTCTATATACCGGACCTCCTCTTCTTCGGTGGGTCCTACTCAGATAAACCGGACAGGTCTCCAGCGTTTCAAGCCCACTGTTTGGCTAAGTCTCTTCGTATCCTCGGCGTGGATAAGTTTGTTCTCGTAGGGTTTAGTTACGGCGGCATGGTGGCTTTTAAGATCGCCGAGGAGTACCCTGAGATGGTTCGAGCCATGGTAGTATCAGGCTCCATACTTGCGATGACTGATACGATCAGTAAGTCGAATTTGAACCGGTTAGGGTTTGAGTCCTCGGCTGATCTTTTGTTACCAACTTCGGTTAAGGGACTCAAGACTCTTTTCACCATGGCTGTTCATAAACCCATGTGGTTCCCAAACCGGCTCTTTAAGGATTACATGAAGGTACCTACTTAAAATTTATGCAAAATAATTGCTTCCGATCATTCCAGCACTCGGATAATTGTAACTTCAGATAATCATTATTTTGGAAACAATTTTGATTGTTCCTAATTCGTTCTTAGTCAAATAATAAATACAAAAAAGGAATAAATATGTACTTCTCATTTGCTTAATTACTACTAATATTCTCGTATTTTGTAAATGTGAAGGTGATGATTACCAACAGAAAGGAAAAAGCTGAATTGTTGGAAGCTTTGGTCATAAGCAATAAAGATGTGACCACTCCTCGTTTTCAACAGGTTTTTATATAAGATTTTAATTAAATTCTCATTCCGTTTAGAGAAAACACATAACTATCCCTAAATACACATAATCGGTTAGAACGTAAGTTATATACATGGATTACGAGATTTCAGAAGAAAAAAAAAACTTAAAAACATTACAATTTTTGTTTAAAGTAAAGATATTAAAAATACTATTTTCTTTTATAATAAGCCCTTTAGAAATGAGGGAACTGAAAATAATATTTTCTATAGTACCCTTCCTATAATTTTAGCATTTCTTCTTAAACCTACACTCTGTGGTACTTTTGAAAATTTAAATTTTGTTAATATTTTTGGAGAGAAAAAAAGAGCATAAAATGTGGTAATTCCAGAATTTCCATTGATTCTAAGGAGTGTTTGTAGTTTCCAACAAATAGGAAGTAAAAAATATACAAATCAAATATTAAAAAAAATAATTAAAAAAATACTGCAACGTCTAAGAATTGCTTTTTAAACTAAATTAGTTTTTAGGTAGAAATAATTGGCCACATACTTTTTTACTGATTTCTAAAGATTTTATCGAAAGAAAAAATGTTATTTTTAATATTTATACTATATAAAAAACGATATTGCATGTTTTTGAGTTATTCTCATAGTCCCGTAATTTATATAACTTTCATCTAAAATATACTAAATGTTATCACTTAACACATCAATAATCTAAAATTGGTCGGTTATGCAGAAAATACACCTTTTGTGGGGCGAAAGTGATCAACTTTTTCACGTTGAAATGGCCAAGAACATGAAACAGTAAGTTTCGGTACAATAAATTTCTTCTTATTTAAACTGAAAGTACTAATTACGTGATATTATGAATATATTCTCCTTTCCATTCTGTTTTAAAGGCAACTTGGCGAAAACACAACAATGGATAGTATAAAAAAAGCAGGTCACCTGGCACATATGGAGAGACCTTGTGTCTATAACAGATGTCTCAAAAAGTTTCTTACTTCAGTTTACTCCGAAAACTAGATTCAATATATAATTGAATTTAAGTTAATTCAATTACTACTACATGTGATCCTCAACATCAACACCCTATGTATTATTTTATCTTATTTTATTTGGTATTAATTCTTCATATGTAAAAAAGTGGATGTCAGAAGTTATGTAGCCTAATATATTATCAAAAAAATATATGGTTAATTGTAATAATTTTTTTCTTGATAAATTCGCATTTTATGTTTTTAATAACATACCACTTATTCACTTTTTTATGTTTATAAAAATAAAATTATGTTATATATAATTGAAATATGATGAATCTATTAAAAATAATTTTTGTACGTTTTATAATTATTGTACTAATTTTTGATCCAATTCAACTGTTTTTACTAATAATTAATAATTATTCAGCTATTCGCCAGACATACAACAACAAAATATCATATGTACGTCAACATTTTGTCAACGAGTTAAGAGAATAAACAGATTTTGATCAAATGGGCCTCAGTTACCAAAGTGTCAATGGATCGGAATTCGGAAGACATACTGAGTTACAAAATTTAAAATTTCTTTAACCTATGATCCTATGGGACTCTTTAATAATTATTGTGAATCATAAAACTTAAAAGGATAATTTATGGCAATTATGGTAAAACATAAATTATAGTGGTATGAGAGAAACAAATAAGTTTTACTTTGAAAAATAAATTACAATATCTCTATATTATTATTTGAGTAGGCATTTATAGAAATGAATTTTAATTTGTAAAATATTACAAAATATTTTACAAAATAACTTTTTTGTATAATATTATATAACTAAATTTTATATATTAGATATTATATAAATGAACTTTTATTTATTAGATATTACATGAGATATTTATATAAATAAACTTTTATTTGTAAGATATTATATAATTGAACCTTATAAATGTAAAAAGTTTAATTAAATATAAAAATAGTTAGCAGTTAATATGGACAAGGAATTTGATTCGAAATTCTTAACATATGGATCATAACAATGAAATTAATATCTTAGTAAAATTATTATTTATCACAACACAATTCGTGTGTATAGTGGAGTTTAGAAAAATTAGTATATTACACCTTATAAATTATGTGTATTTTATAAAATATATTAATAAATATGTTAGTGTTTCTTATTGGAAAATAATATTACAACAATATAGAAGAAGATGATTTGTAAGACCCACGCAACGAATACGTAATTGCTCTCTTCTCTCTCATGCGATCGGAAGGGCGATCGTTGTCCTTCATGGCAAATCACTTCTCTTGATTTTCTTCACGCCTTGATTTTGTGTTACATCAATTTCTTCAAGGTCACTTTCAATCTCTCTCGATGTCTCTCCTCCCTTGCGACGGGAATGACGGTTGATCAGTTTTTAATTTGTTTTATCCCACCCTTATTGGGGATGGTGATTCTAATCTTCGGTGGTGGTGTGGGAAACTTCATCAGAATCGACCACCCTCTGCTGTTTATCTCCACGCTGGTTCAGTGTGATGATCAATTTTACAATGGTTGGTGGTGTTTTTCAGTGATTTCTCATATTTTTTCTAATATTTCTACGTTGGATACGGTTTATCAGGGTGGTTGTGTTCTAACTATAACCACCTTGCTATGGAAAGAATTGCCATGGAAACCACCATGATTCGGAGTTGAAAACAATGGTCAGCGAAGTTGGGATTTTGCTTTGATTTTTCCTGCTGTGTCTACTTTGCTGGATATAACGTTGTTATAGAAACAATCACTATGGAAACCACCATGGAAGGGACGAGGTTTTGGAACGAAGATGCAACCTATTTGTGGTACGGCGACATTCGTACAGTCGTTGAAAATTCACTACAAGAAAAACATCATTTTACAACGGCCGAAATGGTTGTTAATTCGTCGTAATAGGGCCATTACGACGGACTACCGACGATTTCGAAATCGTCGTAAAGTCATCGTCGTAATAGACAAATCGTCGTAAAATCGTCGTATAATATACGACGGTTTTGTTTCGTCGTAACGTTGAGGGAAACAAAATCGTCGTAAATGCGTCGTACAGTTTACGACGAGTTTACATCGAATTGCGTCGACTTGGTCTTCGCCTAGATCATCGTTAAGTGGTCGTTAATGGTCGACGTAAGATCGTCGTAAAATGTACGACGCATGAACCGTCGTAAATCAATCATAAAGTATTTCTTCATTTCGTCGTAAAATCGTCGTAACTCTCGGACGTATAATCGTCGTATTTATCGTCGTACATTGTAGTCGTAAATTCGTCGTAATATTTACGACGTAATATACGACGGTTTGAATAAATTTATTACGACGATTATACGACGTTTAATATAATTGAAACTTAAAAAAAATAATTCAAATTAAAATTTAAATAAAAAATAATAATCTACAATTTAAAATTTATGAAAATTTGAAATTAAAATTAATTATAATTTACAAAAAAACCCTACAGATCTAAATCTAAATCTAAATCGATCCCGTTGATCCCGTCACCAGCCTCCTCCCCATCGTCCTGGACGTGTTCCATGCCGGGCGCCTGATCTCCGGCTCTAGGAGGCTCAACCCCGAGAGATCGGAACATCTCCTCGTCCGTCTGCACCGGCGGTTGCGTCCTAGTGGATGACCCAGCGGCAGATGATCCGACAACCCCATCAGCCCGCAGCTTGTCCAACTGCGCCATGAGTACCGGGTTGTCGGCTCCCATGATCTCGAATAGACCGTAGAGCTGGTCAATCCTCGTCTCATACCGGGTCCGCATCTGATCGATCTCCTGGCGGATAACCGGATCCGGGACCCGGACGTGACCAGTCGCCGTAGCTCTCGGAGTATCACGGATGGACCCCATCTCTAATACCCGCCCCTTTTTCTTTGAGGCAACCTACAAATATTTAAAAACATTATGGTTAGAAATATAATTTAAAACTAAAGTTACATTAATTAAAAATAGTAATTAAAATTACTTCTTCGAAGATCTAGTCCATCTCCGCCACCGTCAGCGCCGGGATCGATTGGACCGAGCTACCTCCGGGAGACATTTGACGCGCTTGCTGAGTCAGCTGCGTCTGTCGCTCCTCGATCGCCGCACAGGCGGCGTTGTAGATCTCCTCCGCCCGAGGATCCGTGAATTCGCCGTTACGCTTTTTATGCGTCTCGGCGAAAACCTTCGTCATCGGAGGAAGTTCTCCTCCGTTATCTTCGACCTACAAAATCAAAATGAAAAAATTAATTAGTATCAAGAAATAAGAGTTAATTATTTGAAAACAAAAAAATTAATGATTTTAATTTACTTACCATCATAAGCCGTCTTCCGGCAAAAGGAATCTGGCCAGAAGTGTGCGGGACGTTCTTCCGATTTCCTGCATCGTCAGTAGCGTTCCAGAAAAATATTTTGATTAGAATCTATTATAAGAAAAAAAATAATGTAAATATTATTGAAATTAACTACGACTTACTAGATCTGGAACACTTGGCGGCCGTAGTCTGGTTGTGCGGATCCAACCAGTACTGGACAAGACCCCGCCAGACGGTATTGGACATAGGCGCCGGCTTGGCCTTGTCGCCGTCGACCTCCCACTTCCGTTTCCAGTCGGTAACGGTTTCCAGTCGGAAACGGTGTTGTTGAGGCGGAATTTGACCTTCTCTTTGAAGGCCGTCTCCACACGTCCGTGTGCGGATGTTTCCTAATGCCAGTTTTGGTAAGAAAAAAAAAAGAAGTTAGTAATTATTGTAAAAAGCTAAAATTTAAAATTAAAATTAAAGGAAATGGTAAATTACTTACCGCAAAACACTTGAACCAAGTGTCAAGTGTGGCCTGATCCAGCTTCTTCCAGCTGGTATGGGGTTGTACGAAAAACCCCTTGATGATATCCGCAACATTACGACCGACTGCATTGTCGGTCGTAAACCTAGTCAAATGGAAAGAGCAAAAGTTAATTAATATCAAATATATAAGAATAAATATTAATTAATTTAAAAATATTATAGGCAAAAAATAACGTACCAAAAGGTGCCGGAGGCTCGATCCGGGTCGAGTTTGTTCATGGTCCCACGACCGGGTTGCGCCAGAAGATCCTGTACCGTAAACTGGGCATACGGTACAGGCGGGATCGGATCAGCCTCAGGCTCGGCCTGTGCGGGAGCCGCTGGTTCGGCTGGTGGTGGTGGAGGCGGTGCCGGCTGCGGAACAACGACCGGTTGGGAAACCGTCCATTGTGTTCCCGAGGACTCCGGGATGGCTGATCCGATCGCCAAGGTAGACGGGGCCGTACCGTCAGAATCGACGAGCTGTCGGTAGTGAAATCTCTTAGCCCGAGGAGCCATCGAGACAGAATCTACAAAATTTTAAAAAATTTGTTACTAATTTTTCAAATATTTATTAAAATTTACAAGATCCGGGTCTATCTAAATTCTGAAACCTAAATTAAAATTCCGAACCTAAATCTAAATTCCGAACCTAAATCTAAAATAATATGTAATGAAATTATTTAAAAAAAAACTTACAATTAATTGGTCGGGAGAGTAGGGAGTGAGGGAGAGATTTAGTTTTTTAGAGAGAGAGTTAGATTTATAGAGAGAGAGGGGGAAGAGAGGAATGAGCGACGAAAGGGAAAAACTCGCGTCCCTTATATAGATTTTGAGATGGTCGTAAAATCGTCGTAACTTTACGACGGTTTTATGACGATTTGGTTGTATAACAGTCGGTCCACTGCATGACACGACATGTGTCGTGATGTGATCGTCGTAAAATTGTCGTAACTTTACGACGGTTTTACGACGATTAAACCCAAAACCTTCGTAAAATCGTCGTAACGTCTAAACATTTATAACCTCGTACCTCGGATCAAGAGCCTATCCGGTGCAAACGGTACGACGGTTTTACGACGGTTTTGGGTATAATCGTCGTAAAACCGTCGTAAATTTACGATTATATTACGACGGTTTTACAATGTTTTTTAAAAAAGTGAGTAAACCCTAAATCTTATAAATGGGGTATTGCATAAATAACAATGCAAATGTTATTGTATCCTAACATATAATAAAAGGTTTACAACTTTGCATGTATGATGGATTTATGACATGAGATAGTAAAAAATGAAATTCCGTAATCTAATATATAA